TGGAAGGTATGTTTATAATTACTGTTTTATTTTGTTTTTGGTGATCATGAACAACGATTCAAGCAAGATTAACATGTTTTTCAGGTTCTTAAATATGTAAATTTGTAGTTTATTTTTACAATTGTCGCATAACATAATGGGGGCTTAGCGATTCAAGAAAAAAAGAAGCTTAGCGATTCAAGAAAAAAAGAATTGTGCTACATTTGGTTTGAAAAAACATGGAATTCTCATTTAGCTAGAAACAAAGTTTCCTTTGCCTGATCAGTGGAGGTGAGATTTTTCTAGGGAAGATATCAAGATGGTATGGTTTGATAGATAATGGTGCTTTTGGGGGCATCTATCTTGTTTAGGGCCTTCTAGTTTTGTTTCAATTGCTTTGATATCAGCTTCATTGGTTTTGAGAGCTCCAATTCAAACTTTGGATGTATTTAGAGTTCATTGGCCGAATATCTATTTTTAGACCTTGAATCCTAATTTTTTTAAAACCAAATGATCAATGATGAGACAATTGATTTAAATGTTTTCTAACCGCACAATTATAATTTTCGGTAAGTTTTGAGGTGAGACTTTACTCTCTTTTTTTTTCTATAAAGCCTCAACATTATTTTAACCTTCTACAAAATTTTAATGGGGTAACATTAGGGGTTTTGGCCATGAAATTTTGGGGGAGTGTTTGACAAATATGGAACCAAACGATCTGTCCACTTAGGCAGGGAGACAAATGAGGAGTTCGAATTATTAATGCATATTTTAATTTAATAATTAAATTATAAAACAATAACTGGCGTTTTCCAAGTAATTGAATATTTGAAAGATACAAATTCTAATCTAATAATTAAATTATAAAAACAATCACTGGCCTTTTCCAAGCAATTGAATATTTGAAAGGAAAACTTTGTTGATGGCTTCTATTCAAGACGTGCCACGGGTCACATGGACTCTTCCTGCTCGTCCTAGGGCGGCCACAATCATAAATCCCAAGCTTGGTCGTGTTATTAAACATGAGGCTGGCTATGTTTGAAGTTTACGCCCCAAACAATAATCTATTGATACAACATAACCATCTACAATCATAATCGTTCCGGAAATAGAAAAGATTATATCTAAGACAACAAACAATTTCCTTAAACAATTATTCTAACTTCCAATTAAGTTTCTCTCGTTAACTTACCTTTTGTCACTTTTATTAAGGGAGAATTTTTTTTTTTACTTTATGCTCAAACAATAATATATCCTTAACTACTCGATTTCAAATCCAACGGGCAATTATGATTGTGATCTCAAAAAATAAATGGCTTCATTGTCACCTCTTTATTGTAAAAAATAAATGGTCTGCTTTTTATTGATCTTTTGGTATTTGTTTTTCAATTACATATACATATAGTCCATCTTCTGAGACATATATATATATAT